TATTATTATTATTATTATTATTATTAAAATGAAGCTCTTTTAAGACCCTCTGATTCCAGGGGGAAGCTATGCTTAATACTGCCACTGAAAGAAACAGAATTTCAAGTGCTTAACTAGGCTCTTACAGGTTGATCTAAGGAAGAATGAGTTCTTGCAATATAGGCTCCTTGGGTTTTGCTGGTTGTTATTATCTCCTTGTCTGTTCATTCCATTCTTTTGGGGACTGTGTGTAGCATGGGGTCTAGAGGCTATCTGAAAGACTATATTGTCCTACACAAGCCATCCTGAACATTAAGATCTGTAGGGGAAGGCTTTTTCTTGGTCCCATCAGTGGCATAACTAGGGGGTGCACCCATACCCTAAGGGGGATGACACAATTGCCCCTCAAACATCTGCATTTTGGCAGAAATAGGCTGTAGCAATCATGTTTTTTAAAATTAAAAAAAAAAATTATAATTTTTCTTTAAAACATCACATCTTACCAAATTTTCACAGCATACACAAGCTTTCCAGCTCTTCCCAGTAACTTTCCTTGACTCCTGATGTTGACCAGCTGTTGACAGTGGGGAAGGGGATGGCTAACCGTATAAGAGCAGTTTGAAAAAGTTACATCTTGGATGACAGTTCTCTGAATTAAGAATGTTGAGTGGGGGAGTCTGGGAGCTGTAGTCCAAAAAATAACTTTCCCAACTTCGGCAGAGAAGTAATTAAGTGTAGTGAAATGTGAAGGAAGCCATGGCTGACAGGAGCCTTGAATGATGGTAGGTCCCCCCTGGACAGCATATATTTTCCTCATTCCAGCGAGTTCTCTTGTGCACTTTAGCTGTGATATGGCAAAATGGACAAAGTTTATTTATTTATTTATTTATTTGACGTATTTATACCCCACTATTCAGCCAAAAAGGCTCTCAGAGAGGCTTACAAATGGTTAATTAGACATTTCCCTGCCCTCAGGCTTACACAAAAGGAGAAGGGAATGTCGGTGGGAACAGGGATCAGGTCCTTCAGTTCTTCTTCTCTTCCTCTGAGGCCTGGACCATGGTAGATGGCCTGGAGGGAGGCTCGCCTTCTTAATTTAATAATTTTTAAAGGGAACTGCCCGAAGATCACTCATTTTTGAAGGAGCTGCCACAGATATTTAACATTTAAAAGGCTGCAGGAAGCAGTCTAGGAAATTCAAAATTTACATGCATGCACACAAAGATCGATTCCTGCATAATATTGATTCATTCCCTGTTATGTATGAAAACCAATCACAGGACTTTTTCAGTTTTGCACAAAAGTGTAAAACTATTGAGGACTATAGCGCTATTATTCCCTTTTCTTTTCAATAGTGTGAATACTGATGTATTGGCCCCTAGTGTGATAGTCTCCAATGACAGTTAAGCCAAATTTAACATTCCTGTTGTTTTCAGTGTGTGCCAAAGATTAAATGGAGTCAAGTTTTCATTTAATTATTGAGGAGGTCTTCTTCTTTTTCTGCCCAGCCTTAAACTTGCTCATCATAGCTAAGTAATTACAAGTCCTTGCTTCCCTTGGAGATTTTGCCATCATTGTGGCCACTGCTATTAGGATTATGGCTGAGTCTGCCTGCACTGCATTACTATGAAATCATAGTTCACTATTCATTCATAGCTGTCTTGTGAATCCTGTTTCTTCCCTTTCAGACAGTTCTCTTATTACATGATTGCATAGTAAAAGTTGAATCTGAAAGCTCCGTAACTCTCTGGAGTCACGGTTTTTAAAAACAGATACATTGGACTTAAAATTAAACACCTTCCCTAAAGCAATAATACTTTATTCGAGATATTGTTTGTACCAGTTACTTCATCACTGGGTATTTTCAAAACACATGGGAGTTATTTCTGAAGCCTTCCTTTCCATTTTTTAAGCAGTGTCATGTTTTGAAGTAAATGAAACAATTTACAGGACTTTCTAAAGAGGGATTCCCACCCCTATGAAACTATCATGACCAGATTATAAAAACTATCTAACTGCATCGTGGTGAGGTGGGGTGAGGGAAACTATGCATACAAACTGGTACGTCTGCCCCCACCAAGAAGTCCAGCAGCCTGAGGGCTGAGTTTAAGAACAGCCCTGCCAATAAACCTAGAATCTAGTTGATCAGCATTTCAGAAAACTAAGCAGGAGGAGATGGTGCAAGATTCATGCTGTTCCCTGCAATGCTTTGGGGTGGAGCAGGGGCATCACTATGGAGTGGGCGCAGTGGGTGCGGACTACACCAGATGACACCCTAAGAGAGGGAGTGACACCAGTGGTCCCCAAAACATCTGCCTTTGGACAGAAATGGGATGTGGCCTTCACCAGCATCCCTTTAAAACACTGGAGAAATGGTGTGAGTGGGGGTGAGGCTCAATAGGAGGAGAAAGGAGAGGCCCCGCTGTTTTGTTTTATTTAAAAATAAGTTTAATTTATTTTAATTTAGGGAAGGGGCCAGCCTAAATTAAAGGAGTTCCAAAGTGTGGGAGCAGCCATTGAGAAGGCATTCTCCTGTGTCCTTCAGATAATCTGGACCCAACCCATAAAGAGCTTTATAGGTCATGACCAGCACTTTGAATTGACCCTAGAAACAAACCAGTAGCCAGTGAAGCTGTTTCAACAAGGGGAGTTATATGTTCTGCTTTCAGATTCCTCTGAAGTCCTCCAAAGCCTCAGACACATTTTTACAAAAATCAACCCCCCATTCTCAAAATGGATCAAAACATCTGCAAAATGCAGCAGTTTTGTCCCCACAAACCCACTATATAAAAACAAAAACAAAAAGCCCAAAGAATTGCCCCCAAATCAGCCAAAAATGAAACAAGAGTGATGTGACATTGTTTGCAGGGGTGAAAAATGGCTCCTGTCTCCTCATCAGTTGCCCATCCTGCCTTTGTGTATATAGGGAGTAGGGACATTGAGGGACATACACAGCCCTGAGGCTTTTGTCCCCGCTTCACTCCCAGATTGCAAGGGCTACATGGAGTGTTTTATGCATACCTGGATCCCATTGACTGTCATCCTGTGTGTTTCCCCCAAGAGATGAGCTGGGTGGAGGAGTCAAATCTGTCAGCAAAAGGACCAACCAATGCAGAATCTACTGTCCTATGTTGCTCCAAGGTTTAAACAACTGCAATAAATAAAATTATGGCCATTTCAGCTCAGTCAAGTTGTCAGTGTATTTTATTCTATGTTGAAATCTTACCTTCTTGCCTTCCCTTTCACACACACGCACCACTGGCAATAAAATTTAAACTGTTGATGGAATGGAACATCATATCATAAACATGGGTCCACCAACATCTACATCATTCCTTCCTCCATTCATTCATGTATAGTAAGCAAAAAATAACAATAAAGGCCAGGATTCTGTATCAGCTACTTAGGTAACTACTATATACAATTATTTTTGCTATACTTAATTAACCAGTTAGCCTTAAAAGTGCTGCCATATTTCTTCCCCTCTTCCTCCTTTTTATGCTGCAAGAGACTAACATGGTTACTTCTTTGATAGCTGAGTATACTTAACTAAGTAATATCTTCTCCCCATGCAGTTGGCACCCAGTAAAGCAGGTTTAGGGGGTGTAGTTACAATCATGGCAATACTAGTATAACAATTGTAAATGCAGAAGTTACAGTTGAATAAATCTAGGTAACTATTTTTTATTCATGATTGCTACTTGTGAAGATTGTGACACAGTTGATACGATAGTAGCTGATATAGGATTCCAGCCAAAGTTTTCTTGAACAAGGGTATTTTTAAAAAGCAGATTTGCCCCCTCAGGCTTCCAAGGCCTGAGAGCTGCTGACCACTGAGTAGACAGTACTGGCCAACATGGACAAGTGGAATCTTCATATGATAAAGTCTTTATCAACTAAACCAAAATAAAGCTAATTGAAAATAATATTTAATTTCAAGTTATTTCCCAAGTTTAAAGCACAGTAATAAAACCAAGCTAGTAAAACAGCTGGATGGAAATGCCTGGCTTAGGAAGCAGGCATGGTGTCTTTTAAATAAATATACGAATCATTGCCTTTCACTGCACATTATTCAGTTTCTATCCCCTGAGTTTCTTTAGACAGTTTTCCAGCTTGATAGTTACTTTTTTTTTCTTTTCTGTATTTACAGTTTCTCTCCAGTCACCTCTTCCATACATAAGCAAGCTTGGAATGGTAGTCTGGAATGACAAAAGTAATTTGATGGCAGACATGTTTGTCAAAGGGGCAGTTAGAAGAAGTTATTTCTGAAATAACGTGTCTATAGCAAAAATTTTTTTAAGGGTAGCTTATATAGGTATTTGATTCAAATATTAGACTTAGAATATTCCTCAGTACTGCAACATAAGGAAGAAAGATCTGTGTTCAGTGAGGTTAATGGAGGGCCTTATTTTTAAAGCAAGAAACATCGGTGAGGAATACACAGTCCTTCCCTGGTCTACTTTCCCCTTCCTTCTGTAAGTATGGAAAAGAATTGTAATGGTTTCATGATTTTTCACTAAAACTACCCCCTTTGTATCTCTTCTTGTGTGAAAAAATGAAGATATTCAGGGCTTGTGGTACATATACAATCCTACCTATATTTTAAGAATCCAAATAGTTAAAATAGTACATTTGAATGCTACACATAAACAAGCTCTTGTCAACCAGGAAAACGCATACCAAAATGTGTGTAAATAAATTAGGAAAAAAGTATATATGAATTTCTATGCAGGAAGATAGGGGCTGGATCCTGTGTCTCAGAACATCATACAAATAAATACAGAGGTGAAAATGCAGGTAGGATTTGGAGAAATGCAACAAAATTGAGAGTGAGTTTTTCCACATCTCTGTTCTCCATCCTCTCTTACTTCAGCTTTTCCTCCTGAATTTTTTTCTTTTGAACTGAACTCCAATTTGGGAAGTGTCCCTATTTAAGCACAGTTAACTGGTACTCTCATGTTAAGGGGCCCTTTCACACTAGAAAAGTATAACACTTATATTCCCATTTCATTCATTTGAGAGACAGCATGGCATAGTGGTTTGAGTGTTGGACTGAGACTCTGGAGACCCAGGCTCAATTCCCTGCTCAGTCATGAAACCCACTGGGTGTCGGGACTAGTCAGCCAAAATTCAGACAACAGTCTTGATGAAGAAACAACAAAAGACTTTATTGCAGATCTTGGACAATAGTGACCAGCAAGCTTTTAGGTTGGTATTAAACTTCTCTGCCCTCTCGTCAGTATATATAGACTAGAGCCACATAGCCCTGCCTGTTTGCAATGTAACATTTTGACTTCTGCCTGGTAACTGCAATATATCCTTTTGATTTCTTCCTGGTGACTTCTATGTAACCATTTGATTTCTGCCTAGTAACTGTACTACAACCTTTTGTTTTCTGCCTAGTAACTGCAATGTAACCTTTCAACTTTTGCCCGGCAACTGCCAGGCAGTCTTCTGATTTCTGCCTGGCAACTGCAATAAAGCTCCTTTTAACTGTTCTTTGAAATCAGTGCCAAAATTCAAACTCGCCATACACACACACACACACACACACACAAAACACAAACAATACTGACTTTATATATACATTTTCTAACACAACTAATTATGACAGAACAAAAACCCATTTAGGTTCTGACACTGGGTGACCATGGGCAAGATGCAATCTCTCAGTCTCAGGGGAAAGCAATGGTAAACTTCTTCTAAACAGATCTTGCCAAGAAAACACCATGATAGGTTTTCCTTAAGGTTGTCATAAATCAGAAACAACTTGAAGGCACACAACACCAAAAATAACAACATATATTCCCCTTTAAATGCAACCTGTGGAATTCTGTGGGATTGGCAAATCAGGTAGTACTTGGATTTCTAAGCCAAAGAACTCCTCTGGTGTCGTCCACAACTACAAATCTCAAATTTCCATAGGGTGTTGCTGTGGCAGTTAAAGTGAAAGCATAGTGTTGTAATTGTGCAGTGTAAAGGGGCTCCAGGTTGGTCCTAAGGAAATCTCTCCAAATGTGGCTGTGGGATGAGAATTACTGTTATATAACTAGAAATGAGAAAGCTTTATAGTTAAAAACACCTGATTACTGTATCTCAGAAAGAATAAACGTATATCAAAGCTTCATAATCTTGCTGTAGGCTTTCCAAGGAGACGTCAGGAAGAGATTCAGATCACTTTGAAAAACTGGTCATCTTGAACAAGTACTCAATGTGTGGTTTATTTTTTGTTTTTTGATTGCTTTTAAAGAAAGAAAGAAAGAAAGAAATCTTCCTGCTGGCATAATGAAAGAAATAAAATTGTTGGGCAGCTGGAGATTTTTCAGTGCTGTGTTACAAATATGGCAAGCTGATACAGGTAGTTTCCTTTATCTGAAATGCTTGGGATC